TTTTTATTTTTTTCATGAGTATTATTTATGACCTTTTTATTTGTTAATCTGTAAAAGAAATAGATAGATAGGGAGATCAAGAGAGTAAAGATAATTTTCTCTTCCGTTTAAAAAATAATTCTCTTGAAATCTCCAGTGTAATTCTCCGCAATACAGTTACGAAGATAGCATCCCTTTTTCCTCTTATTCCGAAAATTATATCCCGTTGAAATAAAAGAAATAAAAAAAAAATATTTAAAAAAAAGCAGGAAAAAAAGTGAACGGAGAAGAGCGCAGAAGTCAGGCGGGAACGAACTCCTCGCGCCATGGCGGGAGTAATGGCTGACTTCCGGTGGGGGGGGGGGAGAACGTTCTTCTCTCCCCCTTCCCCTTCCCCTCCCCTATCCTCTTCCCCTTCTCTCCCTCCCTCCCTCCCTCACTCCCTCACTCACTCACTCTATCTCTACCCCTCCCTCCCTCCCTCACTCACTCTCCCTCGCTCCCTCCCTCCCTCCCTCCCTCCCTCCTTGTCCCTTTCTCCCGCCCTCTTCCTCTCCCCTTCCCTCCCACCTTCTCTCTCCCCCCCTCCCCCTCTCTCCTTCCTTTAACGTTTAAGATATATGTCTTGCGTCTTCCTGTTGCACCCCCCCCCCCTCTACCTCCCTCTTCTACCTCTTCCATTCCCTCGTCTCCCCCTACCCTACCCCCCCTCTTCTTCCACTGGCCCCCCTACCTATCCTCCCCCACCCCCTCCCCTACCTGTTCCCTTACCTTCTCGTCCACCCTCCTCCCCACCCCCCTCCTCCTCCTTCCCCCTCTCCCCATTCTTTCTCTTTCTCCTCTGTCACCCCCTTCCTCCCTCCCCCTGCCCCTCTTCCTCTTTCTCCTTCACCTCGCCACCCCTCCTCCCTCCCCCTCCTCCTTCCCTTTCTCTTCCTCCCCCTCCTCCCTCCTTTGCTCCCCTACCCCTCCTCCCCTACCCCCCTCCTCCTCCTCCTCCTCCCCCCTCCATCTCCTCCCCTACACCTACCCCTACCCCTCCCCATTCCTCCTCCCTTCCCCTCCTCCCTTTCCTCCCCCTCCCCCATTCCTCCTCCC